ACCTTAAGTCATTTATAGAAAACACTTTCTTGATTTGTCTCCTTTGTCTGGGATATTCTGTAAGAATTTTAAGCAAATGATGATACACTCTTTTTTCCCTTTAGGTAACTCTGCAAAAGAGATAATGCATTTTTGCAGTTTCACAGTCGATAGTTCGTCTGTTCAAACAAAATTGAAAAGCTTCATTTTGGTGTTGTTCAATATAAATAGTAAAATAATAAGAGAAAGTAGTCAGAAAAACTTTCTTCTTATTACTTTATTATTTATTTATGTTTAAACAAAAGGTCGCGTGGCTGAAAAAAAATTAATACATCTCTGTCATTTAATTTCCTGAAGGAAAACTCTTCATAATTATTTGAACATTTTCAGTGATTTGTCCCAGCTGTGCTAAAAACGTTTTCTAGAATATCATACCAAAATATACTCGGCCAATTTTTCTTTCAAGAATAATACAAAATATCCTGATTAGTTTTATCCAGAAATCATAAAAGCACGTAGCTGAGGTATTATATTTTTAAAACCATACCTACTATACTCATGTTCATTTTCTAAAAGTAGGTACTATTCAGCAACAGGTAGTTTTACTCAAAAGTTGTAAGGAAGATTATAATGAAGGTCAAGAAGAGTGACACTAGATTTTAAAAAATGATAGTGGACGGCTTTTCCTTGAAAAGTAAAAATTCAAATACAATAACATAAAAAACCATCTTGTTGTTATCCTTTTCAGTTACACAGCTGGAAGAGAGGATGGTAAAAATTAGGGCCCCAATGAAGAAAATGGGAAGGTAAAATGTTTAATTCATCTAATTTTTATTGTTTGGCAATATATTTTATTTATCTTTTTATACGGAATGAATCGGTGAAAAGAAATTTGAATGGTAATTATGGTCAGAGACAGGTTCCTGATGGCTGTATCAATTGGAGGTCTTCCCCCACTCCTTCTGGGTACAATCAGGATGGTTGTTCTGCAAAATTTCTCCGATGAAACTGCAAGTATCGCGGTTTGCAACGTTGCAGACATCCTGTAATACTTCATTTTCTTCATGGAAAACTAATATAGGTACTTCTTTTCTTGAAAATTATGATGATTTTACCTCCTGAAGAATATTCCTTGAGAATATTCTGTGAAAATTTCAAGCTATGATGTTGGTTCAATCTCCTTTTAAAGAATGAGAAAGACTAGAGTGGAGACTTTGAAACGCTGCAGCCGAGATACACATTTTTGTAATTTCACCGTCAATTTTTATTTTATCGCTTTTATTGAAAACTAGAGCATACAGCCCACAAGAAATGAAATTATTACTGCTTTGAATTAATGCACCCGGAAGTCCCTCAGTTTGAAGGGTGAATAACTGTACCTAAAACCTGAAGAAACATCAAAGATAAGTGGATTTTTTTATTCGTTTCTCAATACCTAATGCCCGCCTCCATTCATTTCTCAAAAACTCATACTTCGGTACCGACCTATATCTTACAATATTCAACATTTAATCATTCACCATCTATATAACATCTCTTAAAATATAGAAAATATTGATGCATTGTGCTGCACAATTTGAAGGGAAAATGAAGAACCTTATTTAATAGGCGCAGTGGAAGATACAAAATGAGAAAACTCAGAATGGACCCACTCCATTCAAAAACTGGCATAGCCGTGTAGGTAACTGGAATGGAGCCTACTCTCTGAATAGGTTTTAACCGAAGAAAATGTTTGCCTAATCTTGATGAACATTTTTCATTGTTCTTAATTTGAACACAATAATTAGGTAGGTAAGTAATCATTGGTCCCTATTAAATAGTGGCTGTTCTAATTCAGGCAGTCCAGCATGCATAATATCATAGTGAACGCCGGTGATAGGCCGATAGACGAGGGTAGGGGGGGATTAGGTACTGTTACTTGTCATTAATGTTGCATACGCTTGTAATTGAAGGCGGATTATCACTCGAGGGCCCTCCAGTATCATTTCCTCATAGGTATCCACTACCTACTAGCAGCGCGCGGCGTTCATGTCCATTTTTACTCTCTGGGCCAATGCAATCATGAACTGATTGAACTGACGGTTCATCACAACGGTCAGTTTTACTAGAGTCAATCCAGTCAAACAATGCTTCATTTAGTGTATTGGATCGACTAAAGCTTCTAAATAAGTTTTAAGGTTGAATAAATTCTATTTTTGATCTTAATGATTAAGAGAATAGCTTCAAAACGCTAATTGCAGAAATGCGTATCTCGTAATCTAATGTCAGTTTCCAATCATACACTGCTTGATCCGGCCGTATGAGGTCAAACTAAAGTTTCTGATAAAGAATTGTAAGCATGAAACCCTTTTTTCAGTTTTTAAATGATCAAAATCCGCCAACGATAGGTTTAAAACACTAATTGCAGAAATGCGTATCTCGTGATGAAGTGTCAATTCTTAGTGCCGAAAACGCGAATCTCGGCATTTCGGCCGTATTTGCTAACAGCGCGAGAAATTATCCAAAATATTGATGAAGTCTGAAAAAGCATCTTATTCTTGCTATCCTCAAGAATTATTACCCTTCTACTGACAATAAGGAGGAATGTAGACAGTTTTTTTACTCTCCTGAAAAATCGTGTTTTCCGAGATACAAACTTCTGCACTTTCACCATCGATATGTAGTATACGTACGAAGACAGCTCTTGTTTATTTTTAATTAAGTAAAACAACTTTTAAAGCTTTCATTTCAATCTATTGTATGCACTCAAACTTGTTCCTTTTATTTGATTTGATAATAATAAGCATGACACGGTCATATATGGAACGCCGTCTGTCCATTTACTGAAAATATATATTTTTTCATATATATGTTCCTTTTTCAAATATATCGACGGTGTAAGTCAGCAAACACATAACTCGGTTTGCGACGTCGCAGACTTCCTATCATACTTTATTTTTTAAACGGAAAACTACTCAACGGCAATTCTTTAAAACTGCCGTGATTTTTCTTCTCTGTGCGAAGAAAATTCTGCAAAAACTTCAAGAAATGATGTCAATTCGTTCTCCTTTTAAAAAATAACGTAGAGGCGGAGATTTTCAGACACCGCAAACGAGTTATGTGATTGCCGACTTACACCGTCGATATATATTTTAATCACATATATATATATTTTTAATATATTATATTTTCCGTAAAAATAGAAATATTTTTTATGAAATATCAAAATCAGTCCACCAAGAAAAAATATATATGTGAAATGAGAAATTCAGTAAGTGGACAAACGGCGTACCAACTTTCGTCGTATGCCAGGTGTACTAGATATGGCGGGCAATCCGTATGGTGGGAACTCCGGGCAACCGAGAGACAAAATCCAAAAAAATAGTATGAGAGAAACAAAAGAGCAAAAACACGGGGAAATTTGTTTTTTTTTTTTAAAGAGAGAGATATATACTGAGATGAGTATTTTTTTTTTTTTTTTATGAGGAGAATAAATATATTGTAGAGAGACACAAATAATGCGTGGAGGGCAAAATAAAAAGAAAAATCAGGAGTACCTGGGGAAAAAAAACATTAGATACTTTTTTCCTCTTGCGCGTTTGACACACTGTTGTCAAATGATGCACACCATTAAATGAGTGACCGTTCCGGAATAACATTAAATATTCCGGAACTAATCCGGAAATATCAGTTCCTAAGCTGCAGACTTCATTTGCTGTCTCACTTTATTTTTTTTTTTAGAACGTAGTCAAAGAAGTACTTGAGACTTCCTTGATTTTTTTTCTCTGTAAGCAGAATAATCTGTATCAATTTCAAGAAATAAAGTTGACTTGTTTCTGTTTGAGAAACAAAATAGGAACAGACATGTTGAAACTTTGCAATAAAGATAACATGGTCTGTGACTGCAGCCATTGATGTTTTAACAGAGTTCAACATAAAAGTACTGATTTGCATATTAGATACAAATAAGAGAAAATCAAAATATCAAAATCGAGTTCCATAATGTGTATGTGAAAACAGTCATTAAACTTTTTCCTTCACACTGAATCTCAAGAAGGGATAATTCTTCTTACCTCGTTTTCTTGTTTCAAACTTGATGTGGCTTGGTGCATTTCTATTAAACTCTGTCCATATTATCATTTCCCAAGCCATAAATATTGCCAGAAAATATTACGTGAATCACAAAAAGAAGATTTCTATTTACGAACAGTCGCCCAGCTCCAGGAAGAAATATTGCCACGCCGATATTCACAAAAAACATTTCTAGGAGTCGGAGATGAGATGGAATTTTGCAAGAGAGTAATCCAATGCTGCGATTGAAAGAATTGCTCGTCATCGGAATTCAGATGCACCTTATTTTAAGTGTTGAAAAAGAAGCTTCTGCCATTCTATCATACAAATTCTTCAGTTACAGTTAGCCAGGGGTTTTTTCAGTCAGCAAAATGAGAAAATAAAAGATAGGGAATAAGGTGACAGAGAGATGAGAGAAAATAAAAAAATAGATTGTTTCTTTTTATTAATATTTTTCTCTTTAATATCTAAAAATATGTGAGACAAGTACCTATGCAAATTTAGATTGCTGTAGAGGCATTAATGTTACTTGGTTTGAGGCTGTTCGAAATCAGTAGTGCAGTAAGAAAAATAATCTGCAGAGATCAATACACATCAAGGTAAGTTGGATGCAAAAAGAACCATAAAATAAAAATAAAATCATACTAATATTGAAGCTAAGCTCTAGTGCTGAACGTACCATTGAAAAAAATAACTATTCATCTGTAAACATATGAGAAGTGACATAGGTATCATTTTAATCTTGGTATCTTAACGAGGTTACTTAAATTAAAGTTAACAAGAAATCAGTCTCCTTGAGAAAGTAGATTATTCATTGGAAATTTTTATCTGAAATCATAATGAAAAGCACAGATTAGTATAATGGTATAATCTAACATATTTTCTACCGGAGAAAAGGCTATTAATCTAAAATATTTTTTACCGGTGAAAGAGCTATTAATCGAACATTTTTTCTACCGGTGAAAGAGCTATTAATCTATATTGATAATGTTGATTCACGCTAGAGAGCAGCACTTATTTCATGTGTGTGAAGAAGTCTCTACTTGTATTGGAACGATGTAATCATGTAACAATGGCGTCGGTTGTCGGATATCATGAAATGTACCGGTTCGGTTTTGTTTGGTTTTGTGGAATAAAAGAAACGAATAAGTCTATCGTATAATGTCTATTTCTTCATTTTATCAACATGGAAGCAGAGCGTTGGTTTCTCGAGTGCTGATTTGTTTTCGAAATCATGTTATGATCGCGAGTTCGAGTGTGTAGCGTGTTGGCTGTCGGGACTTGAGGCCTAAATTGAAAAAGTACCACGAGTGTGAAAATGGTAAAGTGTGATGATGTGATGTTACCAATTTTCGATGGTAACTCATACACAAACTGGAAAAAACGCATTTTGAAATTTCTCGAATTCAAGAAGTGTAAAGTGACTGTGGAGCGAAAGAAGAAGAAAGATGATAAGCAGGAGGACTGGGAGAACATGGATATCAAGGCAACAAACTTCATTTACAGTGCCATTTCTGATAGGCAGTTAGAATACGTGAGTAATCTTGAAAGTGCGTATGAAATAATGCAAAAATTTGATGAGATGTACTTGAAAGAGTCCACTGCCCTACAAATTGTGTGTCGCTCCAACCTCGAGAACCTAAAGTTGAAAGATAAGACTGACCCTACAAAGTTTTTTGATGAATTTGAAAAGTGTGTAAATGAATTAAAAAATGCAGGGGCAACGGTCTCTGAAGATGAAGAGCTGAATTATATGTTAAAGGCTTTGCCCCCATCTTTAAGTCACATCGGTGATTTGATGGATGTGTTACCAAAAGCTGAAAGAACGGTAGACTATTTGAAGAATAAACTGAAGCTAAAACCAAAAGTTGAACATTATAGTGACGATGCGGAAAATCAATTTGGTGAAAACGGAAGTGCTTTTGCGGCAGGAGTAGCTTCGCATAAGACTGTAACCTGTTATAATTGCGGCAAGCTAGGTCATTATCAAGCGGAGTGTGTTAATGAGATGGAGCATGTAACGTGTCATAGTTGTGGTAACTACGGACATTATCAGCAAAACTGCAATTATGGTGGTAACCGAGGTCGTGGCTACTACGCTTCAAAAAGAGGACATCGAGGAAATCAAAGAGGAAACCCTCGTGGAAATCATCGTGGAAACCGTAGAGGGCATCACAGAGGAAACTTCAGAAGAGGCTACTACAGAGGTAGTCGAGGCTTTAGAGATGGACAGCACCAGTCAAGTGATGGAGGAAATGCGGGTACTTTTGTTGCTCAGGTGAACTGTTCAAAGATTGAAGAAGGTAATCTATCTTGCAATGAGATTAAATGGTTATTAGACAGTGGCAGTACTGACCACATATTAAATTCTGATGTTTATTTTTGTAACTATATTACTTTAGATCAGCCCATCAAAGTGAGAGTAGGAGATGGAAGAGTGTTAATGGCTACCAAAGTGGGTCAAGTAGATGCTACATTTATGGTATATGGTAAGGAAACTAAAGTTAAAATTCCTAATGTGTTTTATGTCAAGGATATGGAAGTAAATTTACTGAGTGTAGCAAAGATTACTGATAACAATACTATTGTGTATAAAGGAGAATTTGGTAAAATTTATGGTCCAGACAGAAATTTGCTGGCAATTGCTAAAAAGGAAAATAAATTGTATCGTTTGACTAGTTTTGTTAGTTGTGAATCTTCTAATGTATATTTAGTTGATAAAAAAGAGAAAGAAAAGATGAGTGTTAAAGAACGTTGGCATCGCACTTTGGGTCATGTAAATTTTAAATACTTGGACACAATTGTCAAAAATAAGTTACTTCATGATTTGCCTGAAAATTTAGAATCTGATTACATGAAGTGCCACATATGTATTGAGAATAAAATGCACAATCTTCCATTTGAAAATAATAGAACTAGAGCAACAGAGTGTTTAGAAATCATTCACATAGATCTGAACGGACCTCATAGAACTCCAGGAGTGAATGGTGAAAAGTACTTTTTAACTTTTCTAGATGATTACAGTAAGGTTGGTAGAGTTTATCCCATAAAGACAAAAGACGAAGTGGTAAATTGTTTTATTAAATATGTTAATGAAGTAGAAAACTTGTTGAATAAACGTGTAAAAAAAATTCGGTGTGATAACGGAACTGAATATCTGAACAAAGATGTTTATGATTTTGCGAGAAGTAAAGGCATTCAAATAAATCCGTGCCCTCCTTATGTTCATCAGCTCAACGGAACAGCCGAAAGGTGTAACAGATCAATCATGGATATATCTAGATGTTTACTTGCAGAGGCAAAAGTTGAATTAAAATTTTGGCCTGAAATTGTTTGTACAGCTGCTTACTAGAAAAACAGAACCTTAGCAAACACATTTGAAAAGAAAACTCCTTATGAAATAATGTTTAACAAAAAACCTAGTGTTAAGTATTTACGCCTGTTTGGTAGCACAACATTCGTGAGAGTTCCAGAAGAGAAGCGAGCATCAAAATGGGATAGAAAAGCAGATAAAGGTATTCTGCTTGGATATACAGAAGTTTGCTATAGAGTTCTTGTAAATGGAAAGGTAATAACGGCAAGACATGTGGATATTATTGAAGAAAATGTACAATGTATTAGTTTTAAGGAAGAAAGTGATTCAGATGATGATTTAAAACCAGACAAAGAAAACAAAAAAGACCAAAGTCGTGCAAATAAAGAGAGAAATGAAAATTCGAGTGAAGAAAAATCTGAGAAACCTGTCAGAGAAAGAAAAAAACCTGTGAGATATGATGAAAATTATGTTTACCATTGTGCTTATGTAAATTACTGTAATGATAATATACCTGATACCTATGAGAATGCAATAAAGAGTAATGAAGCTGACAAGTGGAAGGAGGCAATGATGAAGGAATTTAATAGTTTAAACAAAAATGATACATGGTCTCTTGTGAACAAACCAGTTGATAAAGAAATATTAGATGTTAAGTGGATTTATACTAAAAAGGCAGAAAATAATTTTAAAGCTAGGCTTGTGGTAAGAGGTTTTCAGCAGACAGAACTAACAGAGGAAACATATTCTCCAGTAACAAAGATGGAAACTTTAAAAATGTTGTTGTCATATTGTTGTCAGAATGGATTGGATATTCATCAAATGGATGTCGACACAGGATTTCTAAACGGTAAAATAAACTCTGAAGTTTACGTAAATCAGCCACCAGGTTTTGGAAAGGTAGAAGGTAAAGTCTACAGACTAAAAAAGGCCTTGTATGGATTAAAAGAAAGTCCACGTGTGTGGTATGACTGCTTTGATGATCATTTGATAAGTCTAGGTTTCGAAAGATGTTTAATAGAAAACTGTCTTTATGTATTGAAAAATCAAAAAGGTAAAGTTGTCTATATTATCATATTTGTCGATGATTTACTAGTTTGTAGTGAAAATGTATCATGCATTAATGATGTTAAAAACAAATTAAAAGCAAAATTCCATATGAAAGATCTTGGTAGAATTAAAAGATACCTAGGAATAGATGTAAATTACAATTTATACACACAGGTAATGACGCTTAGTCAAAGTGAATATATTGAATCACTAGCTCATAAATATGGCATAGAAAGTAGCAAATTGTATAAGACACCAATGGAAGAAAACTTGAAATTGGAACCAGCTGCTGAGTGTGAAAACTTATCTTACAGAAATCTAATAGGAGCACTTTTGTATGTAAGCTGTGCAACGCGACCAGACATTGCATTTTCTGTAAATTATTTGAGTAGATTTATGACTACATATGATCAGCCACACTTTAAGTATGCTTTGCGTGTACTGAAATACTTGTTTTTAACAAAAGATATGAAATTGGTTTATGAAAAATCAGCTAGGTAATCCTGAAATTTTGGTTTGTTTCTCAGACTCTGATTGGGCCGGAGATAATGTAGATAGAAAGTCAACCTCTGGGTTTATCATCAACTTTTTTGGAAATTTAGTATTTTGGAAAACAATGAAAGAAAGTATTGTTACTAAAAGTAGTACATTTGCTGAATATGTTGCTTTGTCGGAAGCCATTTCAGAATTATTATTTGTTAAAGAATTAATTAAATTTTTTAATGTAGAAATTAAAATGCCAATTAAAGTGTTTGAAGACAATTCAGGAGCCCTAGACATAGCTCAGCGTGGAAATTTTACTAAAAACTCCAAACATATCGAGATTCATTATCATTTCATTAATGACAACTATAAAAAGGGTGTAATTGATATTCTTCCTATTGATTCAGATGAGAACACTGCTGATTTATTTACGAGGCCACTTGGCAAAATTAAATTTGAAAAATTTCGTCGAAATTTAAATTTAAAGTGAGAGAAAATTAAAAAAAAACAAGTTCAACAAGTCCAACACATTAAAAGTAAATAACATAAATTCAAACACAAATTTGAGGAGGCGTATTAACTGAAATCTTTTTTTGTAACAAATTTGTATTTAAATGTAAGTTTTTCTTTGTATTTGAAATATTTGTAAATTCATCTTTGTACCTTCTTAGAGTAAAAGATAAATTTAAGGAGGCGTATTGATAATGTTGATTCACGCTAGAGAGCAGCACTTATTTCATGTGTGTGAAGAAGTCTCTACTTGTATTGGAACGATGTAATCATGTAACAATGGCGTCGGTTGTCGGATATCATGAAATGTACCGGTTCGGTTTTGTTTGGTTTTGTGGAATAAAAGAAACGAATTGTCTATTTGTCTATTCTTGAATGTTTCTTACTTCATTTTACGAGGTTACTTAAATTAATGTTTACAAAGAATCTTTCTCCTACAGACAGCAGATTAATCATTGCAAATTTTCATCTGAAATCATAATGAAAAGCACAGATTAGTATAATGGTATAATCTAACATATTTTCTACCGGAGAAAAGGCTATTAATGTAAAATATTTTTTACCGGTGAAAGAGCTATTAATCGAACATTTTTTCTACCGGTGAAAGAGCTATTAATCTAAAATATTTCTTACCAGTGAAAGAGCTATTAATCGAACATCTTTTCTACCGGTGAAAGAGCTATTAAGATATAAAATTAGGTCATATTTTAAATTGGATACATGTTTCTTAACCAAAGTTTCACGTAGAACACGATTCTTGCATCGGAAATTACTGAAATCAGTTCCTAATTACAAGATATCAACGTTTTTATTTTACATTGGTTACGGGAAATTTGAATTGTCCGGTGACAAGTAACACACTACTCTACGTGAGTCTAATCGAGCATTACTAAGCTTTTCACAAGCTTTCTTATCAAGGAATGTTCTCTCCCCGCCTTATTATTTCAAAGTATTAAAAACGGGCAAAAGCAGAGCCAAAACACTGAATTTGAGGATGAAATATTTTCATTCCGCCAAGACGGCTACGGTTACGTTTAGTGCGCGATTTGACTCACGTAGACTATTGAGTTTTTATGAGCGTAAGGTTTGAATTCACGCGTAAAGAATTACGCAGCATTGAATATCTTGCTTAGGGGTTGATTTCTGTAATATTCGTTAGTCCAGGCAATAAAGGATTTTACCTTGCAAAACTTGGGTGAAATCAGGTTATGATTGTGCCCTATGTCATTTTCCACGCTTAGTCCGAATTTTTAGTTTCTTAACAAATCCTTGTGTTAATTCCGGAAAATCGGAAAACCCACGAAAAATCACGTTTTTTCGCGATTTTCTCGAGAGATCTCTTTTCCAGTTTGATATATCAAGAAAATAGATATTTCCAAAATGAAAGCTGATAAAATTTCCTACAAATATGATTCGAACGTTTTTTATAGGTTCATTAGGGAGAGTGCTGGAGCCGTGGAAAGCTCTAATAACTCGTAAAATTGCGATTTTCCACGGTTTTTCGCCATTTTTGTGAAATAAATTTGTACTTACGGAACTTCGTTCTAAAGGGACAAACTTATTTCACAAAAATGGCGAAAAACCGCAGAAAATCGCGATTTTACGAGTTATTAGAGCTTTCCACGGCTCCAGCACTCTCCCTAATGAACCTGAACACAATAGCAGATAACCTAGAGCTGGAAGAAATTCACCATTTTATGTCCAGAAACAAAGACATAAAAATAATATGGACACCCGGACATGAAAATATAAAAGGAAACGAACTAGCAGATAAACAAACAAAAATCTTAACAAATGCCATCGATCTATCCAGCGAAAAAATTCACTACTCAAACTACCTAAAACAAGCAAAATCCTCGACCTTTCGAGAATTGCAACAAGCTTGGGTCGAAAGCTGGAAGACTAAAGGAACCAGACTTGGAGACATTCAACCATTGGTATCAAACAGAGCATGGTTCGAAAACATAATACTAAGCAAAAAATCAACTAACATTATCTCCAGAATGCGTATTGGGCATGGCTTATATCCCCAGTACCTCCATAGAATCAAACTCAAAGATAACGATTTGTGTGCATGCGGCCAAGTGGGCACAATCGACCACATACTCCTACAGTGTCCATCTTAAACCCAACAACCAACCCGAATCCTTGACATCCTCAAGAAAGAACTCCCTCAAACCAACATTGACTCAAAAACTCTCCTGAACAAAACTAATCTGGAACTTTACCAAGCTTTGGAATCGCACATATTAAACAATCAAATTATGTGTTAATAAATTGATAAAGTGTTAATGTCAGTGCAGTGGCTGTTTGTTGAAAAACTAAGGCCAAAGACTCTAAAGAGGGCGCGATAAGCTCCTAAAAAAAAAAAAAAAAAAAAAAAAAAAAAAAAAAAAAAAAAAACCTTAAAAAAACGTTTAGATCGTGTTACTAAAAAATTTTGTCAGCTTTCATTTTGGAAACGTATATTTTCTCAGTATATTGCACTGGAGCAGAGATATGTCGGGAAAACCGCGGAAAAACGTGATACTTCGCGGTTTTTCCGATTTCCTGGAGTTAACACAAGGAAAATTTGTTGGGAAACCAAAAATTCGGATTCAGCGTGAAAAATTACATAGGAAACAATCATAACCTGATTTCACCTAAGTTTTGCAAGGTAAACCCCTATTCTATCATCTATTGCCTAGACTATGTTGCACGAACCGTGTTCTACGAGAAGTTCTGGTTAAGAAACATGTATCAGAATGCTTGACTTCGTATCTTGTCTAGTGGCCCATTAATGGGACGGGAACGCTGATTGCTACTGGAGAAATTTCATGTTTAATACAAAAGTAAGAATTTAAAACATTGATTCACTATGAAATTAAGTCTTTAAATTAAATTAAGCCTTTGAGTAAAAACCTGAATTTTTCTTTATTTTAAGAGTTTTGACGGAAAAGAGTGGGTACCTTTGAGGCATCAGCTAGAATTAATTCGGCTTGTTGAGCTGGCAAAACAGAAAACAGAGAAATCAGTTACAGGGCACACAGCATAGCGTTATGCAAATTGTAAACAGTAGCCGATGTCTGGGCTTGAATATCGACGATAGGCTCAAAGCAGTGGAATCATCCTTGCAGGGAGTTGTTTAGGAGGTTTAGAGTAATGACAGTCCTAAATGCATATGTATACGAATTAATAACAGTAGCTTTAAAAAAGGGACATCGAAGTCAAGAAAGCATGTTTCCAACCCCCCAGCATGATACAAGGCACAATTTTCACATATCGACGGTGTAAGTTGGCAATCACATATAACTCGGTTTGCGACGTGGCAGACTTCCCGTTATACTTTATTTTTTAAACGGGAAACTACTTAACAGCAATTCTTAAAAACTGCCGTGATTTTTCTTCTCGGTGCAAAGAAACTTCTGCAAAAACTTCAAGGAGTGATGTCAATTTCTTCTCCTTTAAAAAAATAACACAGAGGCGAAGATTTTCAGACACCGCAAACAAGTTATGTGATTGCCGACTTGCACTGTCGATATGTAATGAAAAAAGACAAATTCCTCATGAAAATCATTGCCTTAGGTAAACCTTTTTCACACTCTTCCAGATCCCCTAAGGCTATTATTGAAAAATGAAAGATCAAAAAAATTTAGCATTGCTTTCTAGTAAGGTAGAAATGGCGACTTGAGGCCGAAAGTTTTTAGCCAAATTGTGCAGAAAAATACGAATTAAATTACAGTGTTGTATAGGGATTATTGTTCAATATGGCAACGCTGTTAAAAAAGTATTGTATGTTGCCCCTTCAATATGCGGGTTATGCAATGGTGTAATGTAGCCTCTTCAATCTGTGGATTATGCAATGGTGTATGTTGCCCCTTCGATATGCGGGTTATGGAATGGTGTAATGTAGCCTCTTCAATCTGTGGAGTATGCAATGGTGTATGTTGTCCCTTCAATATGCGGGTTATGCAATGGTGTAATGTAGCCTCTTCAATCTGTGGATTATGCAATGGTGTATGTTGCCCCTTCAAGATGGCGGTTATGCAACAGCGTTGCCGGACGGTGCACATAAATAAATGATTGAATTATTGGTGAAATTTTGCAACATCGAATTTTACAGTGTTGCCAGATGGGGCAAGAAATTAGTTAATTTTTCCATACATGGTTGTCACATTGTACAAAAGATTCGGATTTTCAGACTTGTAAAAATTTTCGGCTACGATAGACCTTTTTCTCCAGTATGGGTCTGGTATCGGGAGACTGGAGAGTAGGGTCTGATTCGGGAAATTAAAATTTTTTCGGAAAATTACCCTCCTCCGATCCGCCGCGGACCGATGCGAATCTTTTTCACTATCGAAGATCGGAAAACTGTACGGACCGAATTTTGATACGACTTTTTGTTTTCGAGATTTCGGACTTGTAAAATTTTTGATAAACCGTCTCCTTCAGTATGGGTCTGGTATCGGAGACTGTAGAGTAGGGTCTGATTTGGGAGATTAAAAAATTTTTTAAGTCCCGCGCTGGAAAATATTTTCGGAAAATTTCCCTCCTCCAATCCGCTCCGGGCCGATGCGATTCTTTTACACTATGGAAGATCGGAAAACTGTACAGACCGAATTTTGATACGACTTTTCGTTTTCGAGAAAATTCGACTTGTACCTAAGTCGCTTGCGTATCTTATGTGTATATACGAGTACGCGTTCCGACTCAGTTTCCTATCAGCCCCTCTGTAAGTATGAGATTAGTCCAAAGATCCTTTAGGAACTTAAATTAATGACTCAGGTGGTGCTTTTGAGCCAACTTACAAAGAATGAAAGGCATTTTTTCAAAATCTACAGTCCATGAGCTCTCCGTATGATGGAAGTGCTCTCCTCGCTATATGCCGCGTAAAACCCTTCAATTTTTAGTTTAGTCCAAAGATCTCATAGGAACTTAAATTAATGACCCAGGTGGTGCATTAATGCCAACTTTCAAAGAAATAAAGGCAATTTTTTATTTACAGTCTTTGAAAATGAGCTGTTTGTGTGATGTCGCGGAGCAAAGTGCCCTACTTTTGTGTCTCGTAATCACTTGAATTTTGAGTTTAGTCCAAAGATCTTCTAGGAACTTAAATTAATGACCCAGGTGATGTGCTTGATGCCCATTGTTAAAGAATTAAAGGCATTTTTCAAAATTTACACTCCTTCAAAATGAGCTTTCCGTGTGATTTTGCTGAAAATGGACAATTTAGCCTAGCCCCCCCCCCAATTTAGCGTACCCCAAAGTCGTTTGACGTGCATAATGAGACCATAGATATGGTGTTCTGTGTAAATTTTGAATCAAATCGAACAGATAGATTCTGAGATATCGCTGTAGACAGATTTGGGGGACGTCGGACGGACGGACACACATTTTTCAAAGTATGGTTATTTTGACTCCAGGGACCTGAAAACGTCTAGAAATTATGAAATTTCAACTTGTTTTCTTTTTCTTGAAGGATGACAATACTTCCTCTCTACCCTAGGGGAGCGAAAAAGTAAAAAGGAAGGAGCAGGGAAGAAAGGAAGAAAAAGACAGGACAAAGAAGAAAAAAGGAAAAGAGGGGAGGGAGAGGAAGAGAAGAGAAGACAAAGAAATTCAAAACAGAGTTTACAAGAAGGAGGGAGATACATGAAAACATACCAATGATAAAGTATAGAAGAGAATATACATACCACCAAAAGGTTATAACTTTTAGAAAGACCATCCTCCTAGTCAGTAGATGGTCTGACGCCGCATAGTGCAGTGTCCAATGGAAATAAGTCAAATTTTCAAACATATAAAATAGAAAAAGTAATGAGATTTACGAAAAAAGGGAAAATCGGTGGTATCGTTTTCAATGTTTGTTTACTGATTTGCATCGAATTGGCGTGAGGGTAGATGATGAGATAAGCTCTGCAAGCGGTGACACCAGTAGCCGATGATGCCCTAGTGCTAGTGTTGTGGTTGCAGTGATTAAGGTTGATTGACACGGTACCAAATGTCCGGTTGGTGATAACAATGGCTACAAACACTCCTGGTAAGTTCTTTAATATATACTTCATCATAAGAATCCTTTTTTCAACTTTGAAACATCACTATTGAACATGTTTATCGATGGAACTCAACATATAACCCATATATGTGTCAATAATATTGTCGTTTACATAATACGAAGACGGGAGAGATTGCGAAAACGCCGAGAGCTGCGCTTGGACTAATCCGAACTTCTTTTATTCAACACGCAGTACGCAGACTGCTTAGATCAGCACATCACACATACATGGTTACATGGTTGTCAGGTTTACATGATAATAATTAATTCCAACAATATGCCCAAAACTTTTTTTTTTAAATTGATTTTTTATTTACTTGTTGTTTTTGACGTTATGTAGACAGGGTAAACACGTGTTGAGGCACAACAAAAATAAAATAGGCTTGCCTATATCCCAGACACGGATTATCCTGTGTTGAACACATAAAACTCCCTAATTTACACTAACACTAAAAGTCAAAAACTGCGATGGGTCGTTAACGACCTAATAGGCAAATATGGGTTTGCATTTTTAAGTCTCATCTGCGTCTGACTGAAAATAATAAAGTTATGTCGTTTTTTCTGTCTCAAGATCTTGCTCTGAAAAACTCTGATCTCTTCGACTTGAGGACACGGACATCGAAGGAGGAGTGAGCAACAACAATTGAGAGGAAACTCCGAGAATAATTCACAAACCAACATGTCTCAGACGAAAACTGGACAAATTTTTGTTGTATTTTTTATGGGATTTTTGTTTTTTCCCCGCCTTTTTTTCTCTTGTAAAGTTTGATTTTGCTGTTAATATTCGGTGATATTTTACTATGATGAATTTTTACTTTTTAAAGTGCCTTTTCATTTTTATTAAAGACTTGTAATATGACCAAATCCAAGTGTTCATCCTTTGCTTCATGCTGATCTTCGAAAACTTCATTATTTTATTGTGAAATATGTGACTGTGGACGACTATGAGCCTTTGTTTTCTCGATTTATCCAGTTTGCAGATCAAAGTAGTCGGTGCTAATGATGATGCCTCAGCAACAGGCGAAGATTTCTACACTAATTTTGAGGGAAATTTACATTGAATTATCTCTTCATGATTCTCATTATGAGGGAAAAAAGGCGTTTCAGGATAGATCGTAACTGGTCTAACCTTGGGTCTTCTAGAACCATGAAGTATCTTTGCCTAAGCTACTCAACGCTGACAAGGTAAGTTTCCAAATACTATTTAAATCTTTACTCGATGTTCGAGGATCAGTGGAGCCCTCATCTCTCTCAGACTGCCCCCAACGGTGTCAAATTTCTTCCTCATAGTTCAGAAGTCGATCGTAGTAATTTATTTGAGACATTGATTACATTATAATTCAGGTAATGGGACACAGCGGAGAAAGTGTGCAATTGTTTTGGGTGTTTGAACTAACGTTGAGCGCTGAACGTTATGATGGATTCTCTGTGCATGGTGGCATATTCCAGGTTGATGTGTTTACTTGTGATCCAAATTTCCCATACTCTACATGTTCATTATCTTTATTTTTAAGTTTTAGTTTCTATTCACACAGTTTTGCTAACTCATCGATCGCAATTTTCTTCCCAGGTTTGGTCAGAAAGGCTGATGTCTTGGATATGCTGGTTGAGGAACATAGCATGTTTTTGTCACTGAAAGGAAATTCAAACGTATACTGCAGAGGAGATTCTATTGAGTTTGCTCGAAGAGGAATGAAAGTTTGACGAATTTCCACTGCCACTACTGGTAGGTTCTTGTGCTTATTATGAAAATTCTCAGAATCATATAGTGAACTATCATTATTCAATTGACTTTCTTGGGTTATGATCAATTTTACATCTTGACATCTTTCCTACTCTGTGCTAAGTGAAGCTCCTGTAAAATTTGTATATCAAATATTGATCATTAAATCGGTTAATCCTGAGTTGTGCGTTTGAAGGAAGAGAAGTTTCTACGCATACCTTCCCCCCATACCAACTGAATTACATTTCAAACAGAGATACGTGGTTTTGCACTTTAGCCATAGATGTAGTTCCACCTTGATTTGTAGTTCTATGTTGATTGCTGGACCTTTGGAGGAGTTTCTTACTTAAATTTATTGCTTACTTTGATTCTTGTCTTGCTTTTCCAGGTACTAATCACTCTGCATTTCGAGTCATTGTCAACCATCTGGCATCACACAATGAGGTACCCTGGATGAGGACTGTCTTCCTTAGGTACTTAGATTAAGGTAAGCATTTGATTTTTAAAAGACAAAACTTGTGTATTTTTGTCTGTTAGACATCAGCCCTGTCCCAAAATTGGAGGATTTTCTGTTGGAGGATTTTTTTTTTAATCCAAGAGGTTGATAAATGATAACTTAAATTGACGGTGAAACTGCAAGAACACACACCCTTTGTTTGAAAGGTTACGGACTTACTGCTGTAATTCAAAACACGTGGTAAAAAATTAAATTGCGTTACTTGAAAATTTCCCTGATTTCTCTAAGTAGAAGATAATTTATGAAAATTTTAAGCAATAGTGTTAGCTTGTTCTATTTAGATTAAAAGAAATAACACACCACAAACAAGATATTCTGTTTGGCAGTTTCACTTTCACCTTGATTTGTGACATTTCTTAGGATACAGGACTTCAGTGCATAAAATTAAAATTTACATTAGAGCCACTTTTCTTGAGCTAAGTTGAAAAATTGGGTTGTGATGTTTTGATGTGGAAAACAATTCTGTATTGCCTTCGGAAATTGCTCCACTATGAACTTTCAGTAGGTATGCACTTAAGGCAAGATTTCCTTCCTTGAGGTCAGGCTTTAATTTTTATTGGAACAGTTACACAAGCCATCCTTCAAGCGGGTGAAAAGTTCGATATACGAAATTCTTCTTATTACCTATTTTCCCTATGATTTTCCCACAGCTCCATGAGTAAATAAAAAGCTGCGTGGAAACACTGCTTGTGACATCATTCTATTGCCTGAATTTCTTGTTTTTCAGATGTTCCACGCAATGTACAGTTGCTGCAAAGCAACATTCATAAATGGCTCAGCAAGCAAACCAATAAAATATCTGCTTCTTAAATAAAATAAGTGATACGAGCTGTCAGTTTATCCTTGGTCCGGTTGGTTCTTTGAAACTATGAACCTACGAACACCCCATGTAAAAGTTACCTCTGGTGGACAGATTTGTTTAAAAAAATTATCCCCTCCTTATGAATACATTCTTTAAAATTGTTAATTACTGCGTTCATTTTCATACTGATAATTTGCAGATCTTCCCTATGCATCCTCAAATCCCAAATTTTCATATCACTAACTTGTAAAAAATTACAAAGAGGTATAATTTTGTAATTTTTTTGTTTCTGTGAACAGTAACTTTTTAGAAGAATAAAATTTTGGTCCGATGAGAAAGAGCTGATATTATTCCTCTACCTCCCTCCACCAATCATACATCTATTAATATTGTCAAATTACTTGCCTCTGTGTTTGATATTTTTCGTTTTTTCACAATTAATGAATGAAGTAAAATTCTAATTCCATGATTTCATTTCATTTCAGCGATTAAAATTGTCTGCATCAAATTCCTCTGATAATTTTGCTGTCAGAGCCATTTACTGTTTTATGTTTAAAATTTTTTTTTGGAAGTTAAATATAGTAACTTCAGTAATTTTTCTCAAAATATTCCCTCGCAAGTAGACGTTTCACTTGCTTATTTCATTCATTAGTTTTGGAAAAAACAAAAGAATATTTTTCATGCAACATGCAACCGGGTGGTCAAGGGACGTACTCAAACCTCCCACGCCCCTACGAGCTTGATTTTGTTTCCCACCAACTTGGTAGATCGCACAAAGGCGCGCGTCGCTTTTTCTTGCCAAAGTGAAGAAGTGGTACGTTCAGCACCACTTTCTCCTTGATCCCATTGTTGACCCAGGCTTCACCCTGTGCTGTGTGGGCTTTATGGCCGTGCCTCTTCCAAGTCTTTTTCTTCCATGGCCAGAGGAAGTCATTAAAGCCGCATCAGCAACACGAACATTGTAATCGGATTTAAGTTCCCTGACTTTTTGTCTTCCCTGACATTTCCTGATTTTTCCCGGTCGTTACAAATTTCCTGACAATAACCAGTTTTCCAGATTTATGGCCACCCTGCTAGTCACATGGTGAAGACTTGGGCCGTTATTGCGAGCCAGTTCGGTATGTCTCACCATGCCCTCTCTAGGCATATAGCTGTTCGATGATCTGCACAATCGTTGTAACTGTTCCCAATTTACCAAGTTCCCGGAATAAGAATAGTGAATATACGCAAGTACCCATACCTACGTGTGATATATCATGGGTCAGTTGCGCTGGTCACATGCAGAATCGTGGCTGATTTTTGTAGATTAGCTAAGAATAATAAGATCTGTCCTAACAGCAACTTTCTAAAATCAATATTAATAGAGATATCGCCCTTTGAAAAGAAGTAGGGTTTATTTATGACCTCATCCACTGCGGTAGTGACACCCTTGCTTTCTTTCACCTTGCTTCCATCCGAGTTTCACGTTGAATAAAGCGTCCAGCTCACTTTCAAACTGGGGCTCTCAAACTGGCATCAATTCTTCTATTTCTCAGCCATTTCTGCACGGAATTCCTTGAAAATTTCAAGATCTGATCCATGATGTATCCCGAACACATCCGTTGCCTTCAAAGATCGTCGGTCCGACGATCTTTGAAAGGCAAAAGTCAACAGTTCCATCGATGAGCCTCTTTGAAGCCCCTAGTTTGAAGGTGGGCTGGACGCTTAACCACTGCAAATGTGCGTCACACCGACTTATGAAAGCAAAGTGGAAGAAACCAAGGGTGTCATTACCGTGGTGGATGACATCAAAACCCCAACTTTTCAAAGGACAATATCTCGGCTAATATAGAACGTAGACGTGGAGAGAAGCTGCTTAGACAGATCTGATTATTTAGAGCTGATCTACAAGAATAAAACAACAAAACACAATTCTGAGACCAGCGCAACTGACCCGTGCAGCTTTTTTTCTTACCTTCCTCCGTGTCTTCAGCAGCAGCACCATTCTAAAAAACAAAAGAAATTGATACTACCAACCGTGAAACCTTGAAACATAGATACTACCAACCGTGAAACCTTGAAACATAGATACACAACATGAATCCATTCAGTACAATTGAGTCGTTTTCTACTGGAGCGCCAATGAGGTCACTTTTTGTTGAGGCTGTTTTGTTCTGCAGTACTCTTGAGATAAGTGTGCGGGGATTGGCGATGCCATATGCGCGGGGTCCCGGCTCCGGGCTTCACTCAGAAAATACAAGTATACAATTTATATTACAAAATTAAACCGGAAATTTCGTACATTTTTGAATGTGTTGTGACTTGGGTCAAAATGATTCACCAAAATTCGCGACAATAATTATGGATTTAAATCAATAAATCACGAGAACCACTCGCAGCCCGCAATTCTTCCATAGGCCGCTGTGTTAAAAAATGCCGTTCAGTTCAAACTTTCGGCGAGCAGGAGGCTCAGAATGTATCCTTCAAAGATTGACTTCAGCGTCGTTCCAGTACATAAGACTCTATTGTACCCTGCCCACAGATACACAACATGAAACACCGTAAAACATAAATACAAAATGCAACCATGTAAAACAAAGATACGCATTATACAGGGTGTATCAAAAGTCCCTTCCACCCCCTCTAAAATTTTACCTAATTAATATTTTGAAACGAAACTTTGGGGATGTTCATCGATCAATGTTAGCTACTTTTGGGGCCCCCCAAAATTTTCGGCCCCCCCCCCGTGGGGAGGTGCTGCGGACCCCAACTTTTTTTTTAAATGGCAACCCCTATCTTGTAATACCTCATTCGAAAGAGCATAAAAAACTAAGAATTTTGGCGCAAACCGCATATCAATATCTTAATTTTTGACCGAGTTATGATAGGTTAAAGGTCAAATTTGACCTATTTTCAAAAAATCATAACTCCGGTTCAAATTATCGTAATGAAAAAATAAAACGGGAAAATTTACCAAATTGTAAGCACTTTTAAGTAAAAATCACAGAAATTACTTCCAACTAATTTTAAGGGGGGTTTCGTACCTCCAAATACGTCAATTCAAAGGTCATTCAATTTTCCCGCGAAATAAGCCAATTTCCCCCAGATTTGCCTCCACATTATCTCAGTAAGGTCAAAATCAGTCCAACATTGAATTGGCAAGTCCTCAAATTTCGGGAAAAGTTAAAAAAAAATTTAAACGGTCAAATTTAATCACCTTTAATTTCTTTTTTTTTAACTTTTCCCGAAATTTGAGGACTTGCCAACTCAATGTTGGACTGATTTTGACCTTACTGAGATAATGTGGAGGCAAATCTGGGGGAAATTGGCTTATTTCGCGGGAAAATTGAATGACCTTTGAATTGACGTATTTGGGGGTCCGAAACCCCCCTTACAATTAGTTGGAAGTAATTTCTGTGATTTTTACTTAAAAGTGCTTACAATTTGGTAAATTTTCCCGTTTTATTTTTTTCATTACGATAATTTGAACCGGAGTGATGATTTTTTGAAAATAGGTCAAATTTGACCTTTGACCTATCATAACTCGGTCAAAAATTAAGATATTGAAATGCGGTTTGCGCCAAAATTCTTAGTTTCTTATGCTCTTTCGAATGAGGTATCACAAGATAGGGGTTGCCATTTAAAAAAAAAAGTTGGGGTCCGCAGCCCCTCCCCACGGGGGGGCCCNGGGGGGGGGGGGGGGCGCCGAAAATTTTGGGGGCCCCAATAGTAGCTAACACTGATCGATGAACATCCCCAAAGTTTCGTTTCAAAATATTAATTAGGTAAAATTTTAGAGGGGGTGGAAGGGACTTTTGGTACACCCTGTAGGTATAACCCTGTAATATTACGAATAACTCAATGTTCTTGCAATTTTGCCGGGATAGTGAAAAATTGATATTTCGCGGTTTCCGAGGCCAAAAAGTTCCGAAACTCATGATGCCATTTTCAAGGATTTATTCATATGCACTTCTCCTGTGGGGTCAAAGTAGGAATTATTTGATGTCACTGCGCCAAATTTTGCTCTCTAAGTATAGTGTATAAATGGGTATTTAAGCACAGATATTGCACCAAATTGTGCACAAAAATATGGAATTAAAAAAAAAACCGGCGCTCCGCTTCGCTCCACGCCGGTTTTTGGGGTAGCTCCGCCCCCCCCAAACCCTCCCAGGACGGTCTTTTCACGGTTTTCTGCGCATCTAGTTTTTTCTTCTTTTTAAGTGTCCCGCGCATCCACCGCGGGAAGAAAGTGTATTTCCCGAAGTGGGATTTTTGTAGTCATAAAATCGTACGTCTGTAAGCGATTGTATAATGGATAGTCTTTTTCCAGATATTTCCTTTCCTTGGGACGCTTGCTTCACCTGACCCACTGTGCGACGCACAGTTTGTCCAAAATCTTCCTTCCCCTGAACCACTGAGCGACGAAAAGCTTGTTCAAGAACTTCTTCCTCCTGATCCACTGTGCGACGAAATTTTGTCCGAAATCTTCCTTTCCCTGACCCATTGTGCGACGAAATTTTTGTCCAAAAACTTCCTCCCCCTGAACCACTGTGCGACGAACACTTTGTCCAAAAACTTTTTCTCCCCGACCCACTGTGCGACAATTAGCTGGTCCAAAAACTTTCTCCCCCTGACCCACTGTGCGGCCCTGCTCCGGCCGGCTCCCCTCATGCCGCGCACCCCCCTCCTAAAACTTTAAAAGCTCGCAATTTTTAAACGGCTCGGTCGATTTAGCTCAAATTCAATACCAAACCAGTCCTAGAGGAGGACTACCACCCATAAAATTTTCAGCTCAAAATATTCATTTTCGCTCGAGTTATCGAGTGGACAAGATTTGACCTCCCCCCACTTTCGAGCCCCACCCCTCAAAATCTATTGCCTCAAATTTCAATTTTTTTTCGCAGAATAGTAGTTCTAATGAGTCTCTACTAAATGCAAAAAAATTGGTTTAAATATCTTTCAACGTAAGAAAGATATAACTACTCAAAAATCGAAAAATCTTAAAAAGGCGGAAATACATACATACATACATACATACATACATACACACATATATATATACACACATACATACATACATACATTTTTGTTTTTGTAATTAGTATCATCTCATGCCCTGATGAAGGAGGCAATGGGCCTCTGAAACGTTGGCAAAATATAACTAAATTTATACTTTAATTAACGGTTGTACTTCTCATTAAAAATCCTACCCATATGTATTTCCACAACCATAAAACTCTTATTATTATACATACATATATATATACACATGAATTTGAATGGCATATATTTTCGTGATCGGTGCTCTCCACAAGGTCTCGGGTCTGGGTCCGACATCATGGGAGAATGCAATAGTGTATTTTCTTTGGAAAATACACTAAAATGGGTTGACCGGGGTAGGCGCAGTGGCGTGCGGTCCAGATAAGCAAGACAAGCACTGCTTGCCCAAAGATTTCAGAAGAAAGAAGAAAATTACACCTATCACATGCTTTAAATTGGATCAGGGGGAAGAAGTTTTTGGACGAGCTTCACGCAATGTCTTTGGCTTTACATTGCTCAGTGGTCCAGGGGAAGGAAGATTTTGGAAAAATTGTTCGTTGCTTTGTGGGTTGGGGGGAGGAAGTTTTAGAAAAGCTTTTCGTTGCTCTTTTGTTCAGGGAAAGGAAGGTTTTGGAAAAAATTTTCGTCGCACAGTGAGTCAGGGGAAGGAAGGAAGATTTTGGACATATTGTACGTCGTACATTGGGTCAGGTAAAGAAAGTTTTTGGACGAGCTGTTCGTCCCAAGGAGGGTTAAGGAAAGGAAATATCTGGAAAAACTGTTCATTACACAATAGCTTACAGACATGCGATTCTATGACTGCACCAATCCCACTTTCAAGTTCAGCGAACATTGTAATACAATGTCTAAAAGGTAGTAGCACTGAATATATTGGTATTTGGAGTGTAGCTGAGTGCTAGAAATAATGTAACATTTTCTTTAAAAAACTTACATTTCATTAACAAACTTTGACCGAAGCTTGTCAAAGCAAACGCTTCATTTTCAGGGTCACAAAATAGATATCACATTCTTGCTATTACCAATATTGCCCTTACCTATTGTGATTTTGTCGGTGACCTTCCTTATATTGTCTGGTATGCTGTTATTAGTCTTAAAAGCAGTTCTGTACTCATAGACCGTGGGCCAGTAAGGGGTAACCCCCCCCCCCCGTGGGAATTTTGGAGGTGGTGATTTCCTTGAAGCTCTCGACTAGGAGAATAAGATTTTTCTTGTTTACGCGATTTCTATAGTGATGGGGGGAGTAAGCCCCCCAAAATCGCTCAGAATTCCAACTTTTCCGCGAATTTTCCCATTTTTCTCGAAAAAGCTTGATTTTAAGGCAAAACTTCACATAACCAATCTGAAAGCTCGTGAAATTTTGCTTTAGAAAATTTGTGTTTGACTTTGGCCATGACCCGCGGCAACCCCAAAATGGGGGGGCTTAAAATGTCAAAATATCTCAAATTACCGCGAAAATGACCGTTTCGCCGCGATTTCTCGCCAATAACGCGGAGAAGGTTGGTAATCTCGTAAAATTGCTTGTCCCTAAAATTATAGAGCATACATGTTTCATTCGAGATGCGGCCTAACCCCTCGTGGGGGGGAGGGGGCCCCTAGCAGTACCCCACCCTATAAAAACCGTCAAGAATGGCCGCCTCCTTGAAGTAGCGTTATGCGCGAAAATGGGCGGCAAAATGAAAGTACGTAGCGTTTGTTCTGAGAGAACGTCAATGTGGATTCTTGTGAGAGGTGACAGGGGGGAGGGAGGTACATCCTCTTCCCTCCCCCTCTCCTCTAAAAATAATCACGAAAAACGTTAATTAAACGCGAAAATTCCACTTTATACGTCGCTTTTCAGGGCTTGTCATTGACACGCTCACACTAACATACTTTAACGAGGGGGGCGGGGGGGAGAAGGGTTCATCCTCCCCCCTCCTCTTCTGACCCCTGCCCCTCCCCCGAAAAA